CGTTTATGTCAGAGCTGGTACACTATGGTCTTTAAAACAAATTGAACTGTTTCACTTTGTGAGTTTCTTTCAAGTATTTTCCCCTTTTCCTCCTTTTAGTAACTATCTCATCTGAAACACATATAGCTCGTTAACTTTAAGACTGTATTGACTCTTCCTTAACAAAGGCATTTTAATGTTTAAACTGGGAAACAGCGCTGACAAATGAGCAATCTCATTTTTCTGTTTAGGTATCTTGTAACACTCAAAAACTGAATGCATGGCAGGATAGGTTTTCCATAATCTAGAAACTGGTGTGGTGCTGGAGTTACCTTATGTAATTTTTGTTACAGAAAGTACAGCAAAAAGTGAACAAAACTAACTAGAGTTTTGCTTGCATTAACCATTATTTGATATCACCAACTGTAATGTTCACCTCAGAAGTCCTATCTCAACTGTTTTTCAAACACTGTAGTTCTGGCCATCGAACTGAAGGCACTCATGACTGGAGCATGTCTGTCCATGTTTCATTCTCACCTGCTTCTACAAACACTCAAACACAATCCTTCAGGAGAAGAGCTGAAAACATTCAAGTCTGCAGCTGCAGTAGAGCTCAAATCTCTAGTAAGTTTATGAGCAAAGTGAAGAAAGGGACAGTATTCAATAATAATGCAATTCTTAAGTATTGCTTACTGGTACGTATTTGCAGAATACTTTCTTTTTTCTTTAGAAGTACAATAAAATATGCATCTAGGGCAATACATAAGGAAACCCTTATCAAAATTACATTAATGCCCATGCCCAGTTTTGTCTTTGTATTATGAACATGGTCTCAAGAGCTCAGTTTTATCAACAGTTAGTACACTACACAAATACGCAATTCAGCTGAGCGGAGAGAGATATATGCTGTGAAGAGGTCCGCACAATCAGGTTTTCAACAGTTTAGCTGCTGTAGTTGACAGTTCACAATTGCAGCCATTCATTAGCGTTCCTGGAATACAGCCTGCACAGTTCAAGCTGGTCAGCTATCTCTGGAAAATGATCTATACTCTGCTCTTTTTCCAACATGCCTAGTAATATTTTGCCCCAAAAGTCTGCCAAACATGTAGGAGGTTTGAACAAGCTTTCTCAGTCACATTCTTTTAACAGAGGCAACATATTTCTTTTCCCCCAAGAGCCAAAATAAAGTTATTAAGCCAGCTGGAATATTATGCTTGTCAACTACAAATTTGTGTATACATGGGCATGAAGGTGAGTGGAGAAACTGACATACCCTGATCCTGAAATCCTCCCCGCTATTCTGCCTGCCCTTCATCCAAAGTAATTAGTACTGCTGCTAAAGTCCAGCAAATGAAGAGTCAGGGCAATTTGGAGATCCAGTTCTACTTGTGTTTTTATAGTATTTGTCAGACTCCAAATTCAAAGTGGATCGCAATATTCGCATCTGCCTCAATAAGAGTACTATTTCCTCCATCCTTGAATACTGTTGCAGTTTATTCTACTTGTAGCCACATTCAGAGAGGAAAAGAAAATAAAACTATGTTATGCTGTAGATCTTTCAAAACTTCCACAGAACATATTTCTCTTTTTAAGAACTTAGCAATTTAGACACATCAACTGAAAAAAACAGCTTTGCTTTTTAAAGGAAGGTTGTGACATGCCAAAGGCTTTTTTCTCCCCCCCCCCCCCCCAGGACCACCTACCCACCCTCTCTTTCCTCCCAGATAAGATTTCTTGATTAATTGATTCTTCATTATTCATCAGATCAATGCAAGAAACCACAGTTTTGCCTAGACTACTGTAAAAGTGTACTGGACTATCAGAATAGGAAATTAAAGGTTTTCAGGCAATGTCTTGAAAAAAGGTTAGTTCTACATCTATAGATACACAGTTCTATATTACCTATATATATATCAGGTTATATAACTTTACACCTCCACCTCTAACTATCTTAGATGTAGTTTGATTTAAAACAGCAGACCGTAAGACAGGAATAATACACAGAACTTTTTGCAGAAAGATGGGAACCGACCAGCTTTTAATATCAGACCTCTCTGTCTCGTGCTTACTGTATTTCTCACCTTCTGTTTTCAAAGAATTCCCATCCTAAACTATTTTACCTTTAAAACAGTTCCTCTTCATATTCAGAATGGTGAATGACTTACTAGATAAATGCAGGATATTTAGAGCTATACAGTATTCCTTGATGAATCACTATTCTAGAAGATGACTATAAGAAAGTGATCTACACATATTTAAAGTACAAATATTTAAGTATAATTGAAGGTGTCAGAAGAAACGTAGATACCTGCTGACATATTGACCCCCCCTTCCTGGGTATGTTACACATTAATATTAAGATAAAAGAGAAAAACGCTTTCCACAGATTTCTAGCTCTTATGATCACAAAGTAAACTCTCTAAACAAAACCAAGCATTAACTTCCTGAACCTGCAGGCAGCCTGAAACAGTGACTCATGATGTGTGAACTCCCTTTGTGCCCTATTAGTTTTATCAGTGTCAACCCTCAGCCTATTAATGGCACCTGAAGGTCTTCATTAACTAGTTCACCACTGATTTCAGTAGATAAAGCAGCTGGGCATAAGCCCATGGGAGTAGCAGTGTAATTCAAATGGCTGGAAAGAGGAAAAAAGCAGGAGCAAGAAGAGAACAGCAGACAAGCAGGAGACAGTTTTATAATAAAGCCTTCTCAGCGAGTAAAGCAAATAAAAACAAAGTGGTAAAATAGCCTTTACAAGCTGCTAGGCTTTTATTTTCTCCTTTCTCTGTCTGAAACCAGTGGAAGTCAGGAAACTGAGGGGAGTAAAGAATAAACTTAAATCTACTAGCTCTGTATCTCCTACTTTGTATGAAGTCTAGGCCTGTTTAAAGCTTTTCTTGCTTATCAGTATCACTACTAAAGAAAGCTATTCCAAGCCGGGAGAGACTCTCACATACCATATAGCTCCTTGCTTAGTGTACCACTTCAGCAAATGACAAGGTTTTATCACCCAGTGCAGAAGCAGACAACTGAGAAGTAGGCATTTCTTTTCAGATAACCACAAGCTAGTTTCTCTATTGAACACCACAACGTGTCACGTAAAAAAGAGCGCTCTGCATTTAGAGTCCATTCCTATTTCTTACTCGTAGTTCTCACAGCCAAGTTTCTGAAAAAGTTTCTTTAGAAACAAACAATGTGTGAAGCAATGCTGCAAGGTGGCTCAAGTTCAAAGACAAAAGTAGGAAAATAACTTTAAAAATCACTGTTCAGGGTAAGAGTACCAAGAACTGTCTCACTAGTGTGCAACATAAAGTTAGAAGCCTACAGGTTTGAGTAAGTAGGACAAGTTTTTCCTTATCATTATATAAAGTGATTTATTTGTCACAGATAATCATGTCTGTTACTACGATTTATATAAATAGTATCAGAAGCTATGCAAAATGAATGCAAACTACATTCCTTTCTTTCTGACTCCTTAATCATCAGAATGATTAAACGCAAGACAAATCATCTTCTGATAATACACTGAGCTATGAAGAAAACCCTACCAGCTTGAAATCTAACCTTATTTGCACAAAGAAGAGTTTGTCAGTTGGGTCAGCAATCCTCTTAAGGTAGGCACAACTGCTAGAAAATTTTGACTGTTTAACTTTTTCTTTTAAGTCCTTTGCCGCTTTAATCGGAACTAGCACAGCTCTCTACAACACAGCTTTTGCTTGCATAAAGGCATTAGCAGAGTTACTATCTGAAACACAGTGTTAGCCAAAGCTCCAGTGAGAACAAGGCCTTCATTACTGCAGATTTAACCCTCCAAACACTAATTTGTCTTTGAGGTATCTTCTCCATACATTGCACCCTAACCCCACATACGCAGCAGCTTTACTAAAAGGTGCTCTGAGCAACACTAACTCTGTCATCTTAAAGTCTGGTGTTCTCCCAAGGTGAGGGAAGGCTTACAGGCTAATTCAGCACATTAGACCTTCTCATAATGGTGTTAGTCCTATTTTTAAAAATACAAATACATATAACCCACATGTACTTTATTCCTCCAAACTGCAGTAATCCCAACAGTAAATGTCAATGACATTAATTCAGTGCTCAAACACTGCTTTCCCTGAAAGTCTTCTCTCAAAGAAGTCAATTAAGAACAGTTTTAGCCATCACGCTACCCCTCAGAGTAGTTTGACAAGTCTATGGGAATAAAATCACATACATGTTTCCCCTCCAAGGTCCTTTGAGGAGTCTGCTCATACTACACATCTTTGTTACAACTAGTAGTTCCAAATTACTTTCCTATAAAAAAAACTCATTGTAAGGTTGTACTTTCCACTGTGCCTACATCTTTGCCCAAGTAAATGGCGTCCTTTTTATTCAATGGAAAAGACCATTATTTGTAGAGCTTTCACTATGTTAGGGCATACAAATTCATATCCAGATGCAAGTACTTTCCTCACTAACTGATACTATAAAGTGCAAATTCAACAGCAGGATAAAAATCAAGAATCTGTTATAAGCCTTTAAGTTTTCCAAGATACCTCACCTGATGGCCCTAAGATAGCACTACACTTCTATTTTTAACACCACTGCAATATAGTGGTGTTGATAAACCCATTTTAACCTGGCTGTCATTCCAGCATTTTATGATGCATTCAGGGGAAAGGAGAGAACAGACTTCCTCGCCTACTGAGCATTTAGGTGCAGGACAGTTTTCAGTCTTTGATTTGGACGAGGTCACACTATTTGTGCATTAAGCAGCTTTCAGGCTACTTTCTGCCCTGTTTTGAGAGAAAAGTAATCACACTCACAGCCTGAGAAGAACAAGTATGGTTCACTACTTGCCTAAACAGTTTGCTATGTTTTGTACTCTTAAAAAAAAAAAAAAAAAAGGTAGCCCAGGTATATTTCAGTACGACTTTCTGAAAATACGAACTTACAAAAACCACTTGATAATAACCTGAAAGTTGATTTTTTTTTTCCCCTTAAGAAAAGGTATTTTTATGGCGTTATAAAATAATTCATACCTGTCTTCATCACCATCAACAGGAATGGATATGCCAAACACAGAGCTGGCAAGACTGTTCATAGGAGTACTTGCAGGTAACTGAAGAGGATTTGCTAGAGTGTCTGGAATGGGAGGCTTCACAAGAGGTTTATTTTCAGCTATAAGAGAAAGTGGTGGCTGAGGTAGGGGTTCCGATTTTCTTCTAGTATCATCAATCTGGCCTACTAAGGATTGAGCTTGAGTCTGAAACTGTCCGAGGTTTGACTGTGGCAAATTTGCAGGTACATTAGGCGTGCCTTGCATTAACGAGTGTCCGACGTGCTGTGGCTGGACAACGCCGGTACTTCTGCTGACAGAAGTGTGGCTAGTCAGCTGGGACTGGACCAGCGTAACAGGGACATTTGGCATAGTAGCAGAAGTGGTGGTAGACACACTAGGCACACTTGTACCGGGCACAACCGCAGGCACATTCTGAACTCCAGAGACCACAGCATGGGGAGCACCATGCATTCCGGACACTTGACTGCTTCCACCCATTTGATGCTGAGTCACAGATTTCTGTTGCACAACCCCTGTAAGTCCAATGCCTTGCTGCACCACACCTCCTGGTTGCGGAACGGCAGTCTGACTAGCTTGTGTCTGGCCACTCTGCATTAATCCCGATCCCTGTCCAACTGCTTCGCCAGGCTGTGCTGACACCCCCATCACTGGCGCTCCCACAGGTGAGGGATTTTGGCCGGTCACCTGCCCCACAGGAAGGCTGGAAGCCACAGTACTTGGAAGAGAGCCCGTAGTAGCCTGTTGAATAGCTCCTTGAGACTGCATAATTGTCATGTGCTGCATGTATTCGGTCTGACCAGAAGGCTGCGTCGGCAGTAGGTGCACTGGTGGAATCTGGGACTGAGAATAAGCAAATTGTTGAGGCTGAGTCACTGGTATGTTTGCCTGCTGCACCTGCTGCTGTGCCACAGGAATGCTTTGCTGCCCTATTGTCACATTTGGAGGTGCCATGCCTTTCCCGTTGGGTCCAGCCTGCGCAACACCCTGCGTATTTACTTGTGGCTGCGATTGCTGTGGCACCATCATTTGCTGATTTGCTGCCGAAGCCCCAGAAAACATAGTCTGAGCAGTACTTTGAGGCACGGCCCCACCTATGGGTTGCTGCGGCTGCTGTTGTTGCCCAATGACAAAATTAGGTTGCTGTAGAGAGGACTGGTTCATTTTCTCTGTCTGGAGCAGCTGTGACGCAGCAGTCAGGGAACTGTCAGCTATAGAATCGGGGCCATGGGCCGATGCTGGCACAGCCGAGACCACGACAGAACCTCCTGTGGCACCGAGGCCACTGTCCCTCTCTTGAGCAGCCTGCTCGAAGGTGCTGCTGTGCCGAATGCAATCTCCAGTCCTGCCCAGGACACCACCGCCATCTGAGTCCCGGTCATAATACTCCATACACGTCCATCGTCCTCGCCTGTAGGGCTCCCCTGTACCATGGTCCAGCTTGATCACCCTGAAGCGTGAGCTGCACGCAGCAGCCACTGTCTGAGACATTGTCCCAGGAGCAGCAGATGCAGAAGGCCCTGTGGAGGGCAAGGCGGTTTGAGCACTGCTGCCTC